TTTAATTCTCACTGAAAACTTCTCACTGACTTGTGCTGCTAAACACTCACTTCGACTACGGAATTCTGTCTCTACACTTCTGCATACTGTCTGCATTCTTCTAGTCTACTCTCTACTAAGTTAGCTCTAAACAACTTCCTGATATATTCACTATTGATAGTTATGTCCATCAAGTATTTTCGCTCACGCGCGAATGGTCGAAACGCATCACGTGACAGAATACCTTCAGCAAAAACAGAGGGATATCCAAGGATATCATCCGAGTGATATTACCCAATTTTTAAACCTTACGTCCACTACGGTTAGCCTTGGTTTAATTCAAGATGAGAGAGTGTTTAGTAACAAACAGTAAGCTGTTCGTAAATCTTGTTTTTAAGGGGCGTTGCAAAATAATTGAAGGATAATAAGCGCAATAGGCTCAATTTGGCGCGAAAACATGCTCGTATAATTGTCCTTGGACATTATCTGTTCCTTGCAGCTCACAGTTTTCCTTGAGCTTCGCTCTGGGAAAACTGTTTGCATCTTGGGCACGTCCACTTATAGAGGGTAGACAGTCACAATTCGGAAACTCGTCGCTACAGCTTAAACCTAAATAACTTCGGAATTTGAATTCATACAGTAACTACATTCTAAATATAAACGTAAGACGAAATCATGCTGAACTGACTACAGTAACTAAACTAACTAAATACACACTTCATCACAATTTGGATATTACAGTGACGCAAACAGCAACAGCCAAAAATCTGAAAAGGGTAAAAAAAAACACTAAACAGGAAAAAAAAGAAAGAGAAACGCTAAAATGTGCATTGCGGGGCAAAACAGGGTAAGAACAGAGTGGGAAAGGTATTGTTGCATTTGAAATAACGTTTTTGTATCGACAGAAGAGGTCACTGAACCACAGCTCCCGGGTCCACTTCCGCTTCAAACGCTGTTTGTCAGTAGACTGGCCTTCGTTTCCGGTGAAGTCGAGGATGGCGGGCTCAGTCCAACGCTGTGGTACTCCACCCCACTCTCGGACGATATCGATCCTGAAGTTGATTTGGTAAGTTTTTATTCTGTTCTCGCCGTAACGTAGTGCTCTGTAGAACGAAACTGAAAGTTAAAAAATATGTCCTTTTCCTAGCAATTATCATTAGGTGCTTATTGAGTTCAATTCAAGAGTACGTGGAACTTCGCTTCCTCAACTGCAGAAGGAAACGAAAAGCTGTACATACGAGTTAGAAGTTCGTCAAAATGGGGGTTCTCCACCATATAGTTCCGGAATTCATGTAACACGGTTATCTTTTTGTTGTGTAGTTCTCAAAATGTGCTCACATGGAACGCTTTTAAATTCACAGATAAAAATCAGTGTTGATTCTCTGACAGAGAAGTTCTCTCCAGAATTTGATCTCATGGCTGAGTTAGAAAAAGGGCTGGTGCCTTCTCCCCCAGGCTCCCCAACGCGCAAGAAAGCTCACAGGTAAAGCTCTTTAAAATATCTTGAGATCCATTACCTCGGTGGCCGATAACTCATTTGACTGATCCTTGGTTGTTTTGTTTTAGAAACAAGAGAAAGTACGATCCCTTGATATCTGGCCAGCGAAAGGATAATAAGAAAGCTAGGATAGGTGTGTATAAGGCTTACTCAAAGCTTCACAAACAGAAATAGACCAACATACTCTGCAAGCTGTTAGGCTGCTTTCCTCAGTTCTTACTTTTCTCGTGTGCCTTCTCACCCTTGTTAGCTCCTTCAGCGCCTATGCGCGGCGGTGGTCGAGGCATGAGGGGTATGCCACGGGGTCGAGGCAACCCTCGAATGAATGACCTGTTCCGGTCACGTAAGCAAAATACCAGCCGCCCACCCTCCATGCACGTGGATGACTTCATGGCAATGGAAAATGCTAAGACCCAGGACTCGCCGCCTCCAATGCGAAGGACTGGTCCCAAGGTACTATTTACAAGTTATGCTTGAATGTTTGTCTCGCGCGCGTCGTAAGATAATGGAGAACCTCATAGGTGGATGACAGAATAGTTTAACCTTTTTGCATAGTTAATCTTGCTAACATGTTTCTGTTCATCGTGCTATATTAAGCTTCTTAACACTCTTTTTTATGTTGTTTTCAGGGTCCTCCCCCCGGTAGATCGATGGACCATAGCCCAGGAAACTTCATGGGGAACCAGGGCCGTTGGACGGCTATGCCAGGGGGACCACTTCGAAAAGGTACCTTCTCCTTATCCTGAACATCAACTTCGCTTTCCGATGTTGTGTTTACAGTGACGGGTGTATTTCTTGTTCCCCTTCTCACGGATATGGTTTGATTTCTGAAAGGTCCCGGAATGGTGACTCAAGGAGGAATGCGCGGGGCTGGACCCGACTGGGGAAACCCACGACAGCACCCTATCGCCTTTCCTGGACAAAGGAATTTCCAGAGAGGGTAAGATAACTGTCAGTAGAAATCGTAAGAGAGGAACCTCCTTAAGTGGACAATGGTAACGGGTACAGTGGTTTAAGAGCAGTTTTTTTTTTATTTGTGTCACTTAACTGGATGGTCCTGGATGGGTAGGTTTGATTTTACTTTTATGTCATACTTTTCGCGCATGAGCTTCTGACTCAGTCATGATGGAAATATCATCCCCCTATCAAATAATCGATGGATTGATCGACATGAGCCTAACCTGCTTGCAGAAAAATCAGATTTTCTCCTCTTCCCCCCTCCCCCTCGCTTTGTCATTTGTCCCAAATATTCCACCCTACCAATATGGCGACCGAATATTCGCTGCGCTGAATCTCGCGCTGAAAAACTCAAATTACTGCTTGCAAGCAGGCTAACAGGAGCCCTGGTTAAGTACTTCTCGATATAGCCTTTTCCTACTTCACAGATTGTTGCAGGGTCTCGGCACATGGTATATTCATGGTGAGAGCATTGCGTGACGGTGCGCCGGACTTCTGGGAAGGGGAAATAAACTCTCTTTAATAGGAAACTACTTTACCGTCTGTCGTTTCCAATTTTGGGTGACACCGGGGTTAATTTTCAAGGTAACTCCCGGACAGATCTTCAGTTGTATCTCACCTTGAACACAAAGTCCTGGGTGATTTCGACGTATGTCTGTCTTCTTTTGTGTGGTATATGACGGGCTTGACTATTATTATTCTTAATTTTTTCAGACCGGATTGGGGATCACAGACTCCTCAGCCGTACAGAGGTAACTGTGAGTTTGCTGACTTCTCGTAAAATGCCAAGTACTTGTGTGTTTACTGTAACAACATTGGAAAGTTATTAGATCAATGAGGACAGTTCAAATGTTAGTATTAAAAGTTGTTATTGACTTTGATCTCAGGTGGGGGTGGGGGTGGGGGTGGAGGAGGAATGAGAGATAACTACAATCGACCGCAGATGCGAGGTTACTGGGATGCGCCCAAGTCTAAAGATGACTCGCGGTGAGACTCTCCTTTGGTTTTCGTTCTTTCTTATTTCTGGTTTTCCTCTGTTTCTTTCTTTCCGTTTGCTGACCTGCTTGTCTATCTGTCTGTGTCTGTTGTGTCTGTCTGTTTGGTTGGTTCATCACAGGATTAGCACGTCGGCCATTTTAAGGTTGTCACTTCAGAAGTAAATCGTAGAACGTTTGTAATTTTCTGTTGTAATTTTCGTCGTATTTTGCCGTTCTTTTTTTACGTAAGCTCTAGTAATGAGTGATATGTCGGCGGCTTTCTCTGTTTTTCTGTTTTAGTTTTGGGTTTAACACACCGTCTCATTTGTTCTAGGTTCATGCCCCCGCCAAATATTGGAGGTTATCGGCCTGGTGCTGGGCGAGGTTACCCAGGCAGACATATGAGATCATTTACACGGTGAAAAATGAACGACCTCACACCTAGTTAAAATTCAACTTTTATTCTGCGGATATTAAAGTTGAAGTTAAAGTTAAATTTATTGTAGAAATTGTGGCGTTACAAAAGCATGTAACGTTAAATTAAATAGACCTAGGAAACCGTTCGATTTGTTTGTACCAATGAAATTCGCTACAATTTTACATTAAACTTGAAACTTGATACGAGTGTCCGTGTTTATCTTAGCTGGGGAATTTAAGTGAAGTCGTTTCAATAGGCTGTGCCATGCTTTACAGTAAGGATAATTTTTCTCCCCTTTTTGCGTGAAATGTGGAACTTTTGAACTACTCGAAAGAGTACATCTGTAGTTCCTTTTTTTTCACAAGAGACGCTTACGCCGGTATAAATACTCGGGACAAAAGCATTAAGGACACGCTGCAGGATCTAATATTTAAAGTGTTTTGGAGTAAAAATTCAAGCATGTGAATTACCGGTTTACCTTCTTTTTTTACGAGTTTTAGTTTATAGCAACTGTTGCTGAAAAGCGAATGTCCTCTTTATCTCCAATGCAAACTTTAACTTAAAGCAGCAATCCATTTAGTCCTTTAATAATTAATAAAGATGAGTTCTAAGCGCATAGATGCGTTTTAGTTTGTACATGGTGTGGCGGAAACATCAGGCGTTCGACGCCATGATTCCAGTACGGCTCTGTTCAACGAGGACTCCTCGCTTTGAAAGCGAGGTAGAGCCGCGGCTTGACCCGTACCCACGGGACTCGGGCACCAGCTTCGAGGCTTTGTCCCGCGGGAGCTTCGGATGTGGCTCAGAATAGCGTCTTCCTCAGTTGGGGACGAGCAGCTCAGGTTAACCTGAAAGGTTCAAAATAATCCGTCATAAATGATGATTTTTTCTGTGACTTTTAAAGAAAATTAACAATAAACACAGTTGAACCATAAGCCTTGCACCCTAAAGTATATTAAGACATACGGAAGAACTTCAAAGAAATATAAGACGGTTGTGAATCAAGGCCTGAATTTTGAATTTAAATCTGGGCCTAGAATTTATCGTTACGAATACCAGAGTACATAGCCGATGATCTGCGTTGGAGCGTGTGCCGAAACACCGTGTGTCGAATTATAATCTGATAATATTGGCGAGTTTTTGTTTACCTACAATCGCTATACACATTAATAATCATCGCAGTTCTTTGAAAAATTAATACCTCGAATGTTTAACATAAGTCGAAAAAATTCTTAAACCACATGAATTTTTGCCCATAGTTTGAATTTGTAACTCGCAAAAAAAAACAAACAAATGCTAATTGTTTTGTTAATTGAGCTTCATTCAAACAAAATAAGTTGTGTAGTACGTTTTTTTCTTATTATCGAGTTGCGTCCTTGGTACAAGAAAGCATATAATGAAGTTTTATCAAGTATCTATAATCCGCCTGCAACAGTCGAAACGCTTTGATGTTACCTCTGTCATTAATAATTTTTAGCATGTTTCAAAATCTTGTTAATTAAAAAATTAAGAATTTAAAGAACTTTGAAGAGAAAAAACATAAGAAATTAACGTTGTAGGAACAGTTTAAGTCTTGCCTTCGACAGTTGCGAAACCAAGGGCTGTTTCTTGTATCTTCTCTTAAATGTTAAATTTTTTCGTAAGGAAACTATTTCAGTTCGTGACTCATTCACACTGAAAATAACTGAAAGGTCACGCAAACGGAAAACAAGAAAGTAAAAAAAGAAAACCTTATCAATATCAACGTTTTGAGTTATCAGTGTGAACAAAACGCTATAACCGCATAAAAGAATATCATGCCATGTGCATTAAATAAGGAAAAACATTCTTTTTACGTAGTTCTTTTTGTCTATTGTGTCGCAAATGGAGCGCGCCTCATAACAAGTAACTGTGAAGCAATTAAGTTTTATACTGAGATTTTTTAAGACTGAGGTCACAAGTTTTACAGTATATAACATTAAAATTTAAGGTAATACCTGATCATTTAAGCAGTGTATTGTATCCTTTCTCACATACAGATACCGCTTGTTACAACTGCTGCAATATCTCTCGGCAATTTCATCTTGATATTTCAAGCTTCTCAACCATTCCAAGATTTCTTTCCTTTCGGGATCTTCACTCTGAAGTTCTTCTCTCTTCTGCGCTTTCAGTGATTTAGTCTCGCGCATCAGTTCCGTCACCTGAGATTTCAAATCCTCGATTTGATTTTGAAGCGTGGCTTCCTTGTACACCATGTGAACGCGATGTGAATCAAGTCGCGACTCCATTTCTTTTTTAAGCTCACGAATCTTGGCGTCGCTTTCCTGTTGTTGTTTAGTTAGGGCTTTGCGCAATTCTGCTATACAGTTGTGCCCGGATTCTTCACTTTTGCTCACTTTAAGGCCACAACCTTTACTGCATTCGGCCGTCTGGAACCTGCACGCCATACAGTGCGCCTCCAGATCGCGTCTAGCGAGTTCCTCGTTACAACCTTCGTTTGGACACTTCACCAAAACAAAACCACATTCCTCCTTTGAATGCGTTTTCAGCGCGTCTAAACGCACCAATGCCTTACAACCTCGTACTTCGTTGTCGCATCGTATTTTCAATGCATCCAAATCATTTTTCATGTACCTGAAAATCGGCTTCAAGTCGCTCGGCCATAACGGTAAACGGTCTTCTGGGCAAGTGTTATAATGTGTAAGCCACGCGTGTATACAAGTCGAACAAAACGCGTGCTCGCAAGGTGCTTGTAAAGGTTCTTCCAGAACGTCGCGGCAGATCGAACATAAAAGCCCTTCGTTGACTTTTCCGGTAAATCTTTCAATGTCGAAACCCATTTTAGCTCCTTTGAGTGTTGAAAGCGAGATCGCTCTTTCCTCTTAGTTAATAATGTCAGCCGACAGAAAATTATCGGTTATATAGGGTCGCAACGTCACTCGTAGAGGGCCAATATTTCAGCTATTACCGATCACGAGTTGTGTACGATCAAGTTATTCTTTGTTTTGCTTTGATATCGATGTTATTCTTCAATTATAACACAGGTACAGGTCACAGTGAACTATGAATATTCTCTGTAAATATTGCAGTACACTGCTAAAGTGACATGCCAAGACACTGAGAGGGCGGTTAATCACATAAGAACGTGTTATAATGTTTAGGCTTCGCCGTCGTCTGTTTCCCCATGCATGACACACGCCACTGTTTTACACACGCAAAGTTGTTTTGGTGGACGTTTTTCTTTGTTCTGTAACTTTTCTACCAAATTTGAATCTTTTGAATCGATGCAACGACCCGGCAATCCTGTGACATGGAGATCTAAATTTAAGCAGCAACCCGTGACATGCGACGCAATATGCGTGGACGCTGTTTTCGTTATAACCAGACGCGGTGGTATTGCTTCAAAGGATCGCACGGTATGGACACTATCGAGGCAGGATAACGATTTTTTTTTTTTTTTTACTGCACTATGTGTGCCGTGCTGCGGTCACTTATCTGTGTGTTAAATCAATATGTACTCTAGGAGATATCTTACAATAAAAGCCCCGAATTGAATTTCTCCTTGAAGTAATTTCGCTGAAATTCACTACAGTGTTAGAAAAGCGCCTCTTAGGCGCCAAATGGAACATCTGTTGTTTTAAAAGGTTGTATTTGGGATTCGATCGACTCTTCTGGAATAAATATACATAAAGCTTTCTGTCAAACATGTAAACAAAAATGTGTTGAGGTATTTACATATTTCATTCAGACTAATAGCCTAAGGGTCAAATGTCCACTTTTTATTCCTACCGTCTGTCATCAATTCCCGAAAAGAAAACTTCTGATCAAGTTTCGTTCTTCTTTAAAATATATTCAGTTTAGATCAGAATTCGGCATTTTGTCTGGAAAAGCACATTTTTGACCTCAACTTTTCGCACCTTTGTGATCAATAGAATAGAAGCGCTTTCGAAAATTAAACACAAAGAAATCGCCTAGGCGTTTAAATTTATTGTTGATACAAAGACTTGCGGTTTTGAAACAGAGGAACCTTTTATTTGAACACTTTGTACACTAAAGGAGAGAGGTGTTTACAATAAAAGCATTTTGTATCGTTTCCAACGTATTGTTAAATTCCACACGATCCTGATGGACTACAGAAGATCGTTGCTCCTTCTTCGTCATTTCTTCGACGAAGTAATTGCGTTACCTCCAGTTTATTTATAAAACATCTACATTCTCTAAATAGCCCGGTTAATTAGCGGTTTCGATGGCCAAGGCTTAAATTCGCTTTGCGGTTAGTGGAGGCCTCTTACTGTGCAAATAGTCCGCATCGCCTAAGCAACGTAAACTGCTATTCGACGTTTATTGAACTGAACGAACAAATATTGGGGCATGTGTGGGGCACTAGATTGAATTATTAGGATGCCTATACGACAGTTACGTAAACAGTGCGAAAATAATTTTGACATTTTACGTTACTGGCTGTGCTAATGGCAACGGGATTAATTGTAAAGGGTACTCGTACTCGATATAATATGACCGATATGTAGACACACGCCAAAGTTTCCATCAGTCTTTATAACGTTCAACCTATTGAATCTTAGATCTGGTCGCTTTTTCCGGCGGCTTTCAGTTTGTGGGCCGGCTGTTAACTTAAAGATTCTTCTCAAAGCCCCGTCGTTGTTTTTCTCCTCAGTGCTCGTTTGCTGGTCTTCTTTGACCAGGACATGGAAAGGCAATCTACTGACCCAGAGATGGTAGAGAATTATGCTCGCGGTGTTTTATTTCGCGATCGTTGAGTAGCCCATCACTCGGGGGCTCCTGCCGTCTTCAATTCCAAGGCCTATTCACCAACCGTTGGCTCCGATAATTAATCCTCCATCTCTCTTCCTTATATCGGATCCAAACACATTAGAAATGAGAGCTTTTTTTCGAGTTGTTAATCTCGTCGAGGACTTTTTTAATCTAGGAAATAAGAGGAGAAGCGAAAGAAAAAGAAATGCACGGAAAAGCAGGCAATTGTCTAGGCCTCCGGCCCGCCCTAAGAGACGAAACGACCTGGGCTCGAATGGCTGTTGCCCGGAAGTTCCCCATAAATAGGAAACCGGAACAATAAGAGAAATTGGTTTTGCTTTCAGTATGACTTTACTTGCAATTTCTGCTGTGTATTCGTAACTTTACTTACCTTTTTACAAGGAGAGATCAGTTACATCAATACAGGTAAGAACGATAATGCAACCATTCAAGGAGGCTCGAAAGGGTTTTCAACCATTAACAGCAAGCGCCAATCAGTAAAAGATATCAGGACTGTCAAACTTATCATCCGGATAATAACTCGACATATGCATAACACTATGTTAGGGCAATCTTTTAAGGGGGTTCGTCAGGCATTATCTGTTGCCATGGCAACAGTACAGTAGTACTAAAAGACCCTCTAAAACTCAGTTTTTGAAAGATATCTCAAAAACCAAGTCGGTGACCTAGTTTTTTTTTTCAAATTTCTTAAATGTCATCACATTCTCTACCTGTATACGTGATATAAAAAAAACAACCTAGTAGAACTTGAATTATTTAGGAAAATGCTGTTTTAAAATGTAAAAAAATTTCCACCAGATAAATTTTTTTTTAATTTTCTTCAGGAATGCGTAATGATGTAAATAATTTGTATACAAAAAATCAGTGTAGGTCACCGAACTACGAGAAATTAGTTCATCAACTTAGCAAGGTTTATTTCCGGTTTTTGCAATTCTAGCTTACACTTTTATATCCGGTCACGCGTTTTTAACTATACCGCTGACTCACAGGCTCATTTTCGCGAGGACGAGTTCGTGTCCGCGCGATTAATCGATGGATGTCCTCAGAGCGGAAAAAATCGTTCATCCTGAAGATGGATTCATATTGTTTTGTAATTTTACACCTTCCTGAAAAATAAGTCATAATTTAAGACTCAGACTGCTTACCCTTACGACAGTTGGAAATGAACTGCGGAGAGAATTCTCTAGCGGAATTCGATATATGATGACAAGTTGATTTTGCAGATGGCGCCAATGCCAGTACTCCATTGAGGCCGGTAATGTTGAGTTTCTCGTACACAGATTGTAGTGTAACATGAGACAAACCAGCATCTGCCAGCTTCTGGACCATGTTTGTCGAAAGATGAAGCTTTCCATCGAACGTCTGGATGGTATCTTGTCGTTGTTCCGAGAAGATGGCTTGATCGAAGGCCTCATTCAGCGATATACATACATTTACCATGATTGACCGATATAATTATTGTTCATGTGCAATTTGAAGTGGAGGAATGAAAAAAATTTGTAGTGAAAAGAATTTGCTTTAACGTCTTCCAGATTGTCATGAGCGTCAAATTCAGTGGAAATTAGGGTTTCGTATACGTCAGTAATTTGTTGGTCGTCGTAGATTTCGCGAATTTCTATAATTTGCGAGGTACTAGAGGTATGAACAAGACTTGGCTTCATTTTCCTTTTTTTTCTCTTTGCCACTGCCATAACCGTGAACTTTCATTATTCCATTTTAAATGGAAAACAAAACAAATTTTGCAATCCTTTCTTAACAAATGCGAGTTTGCCTTTTCGTAGTTGTAATTTACAGTTTATCGAGGGAAATATCAACAATCTTTCTCACAAGTTTAAGATGAATATTTTATTTTAATTTTACCGTCTGTTGTTGAATTAGAATTAATTTAAAGTCTCATCTACATTTTTACGATCCCTTGTTTACTGAAAATTATGTTTATTTTTATAGCAACATTTACACTTCTCCATTTCTGTTCATAAAACTGTCCAATGTTTACAATCCTGGATCCAACAATGATTTCATTTTCCTTTTCATCTTCCAGTGAGTTGTTTAGGAAAGTTCTCGGTCATTTCATTTTATTAGGAGTCAAATACAATGCGAAACAAATCGTAGCACTCAGAGGTATCCACTTAAATTTCTCGCGGAACAAAGTAAGACCTACCGAATGCACTCGACACGACTTTATTGATGGGGTGTCGACTTCACCATCCTCCTTTAGCTTGTTAAATGAAAATTTTTTGACCACTTTCGGCAAGAACCCTGCCATCCGAACATTTTCCTACCTGCTTTCAAGAAGTAAACTTTCCATTTTTGTTTCTCAAATAACCACTTCCGCTGGAAACAATAGAGCTAGAGGTACCCGGCAATTTTGAAACGCTCATGGCGGCCATGTTTGTTTACAACTCGCCCGCGGATCTGATCGCGCGCGCCATCGCTTATTTCTCTCGNTCACTGCCCTTTGTGTAACAAAGTTACCCCTCTGACGACGTCATCTTTGCCTTTGATAAGACCCACCACTTTACCTTTTTTCCATTCTCTGCGGTTCTTTTCGTCTCCAATGATGAGTACAATTTCTCCGACTTGAGGTATGGTTCCCTTTACCTTGTTGAGCCTATGACTCTCCATTAGGCTGTGAACAAACTCCCTTTTCCAGCGTTTCCATGCATTGTTCTTAGCATTTTCCAATCGTTTGGCCATCCTTGTTAGCTTCTCTGCATCTGAGCCTTCAGTGTCTTCTACAGCATACACATCTCGTCGCCACAGGATCATGTTCGGTGTAAGTACCGCCTCTTCCTCTCTCACTGCTTCAACATATGTCAAGGGGCGATTATTCAAATTCCTTTCGATGTCCATGATGACTGATTGAAATGCTTCATATGAAAGATGTGACCTCCCCAAAGGTCTTCTTTATCTCCTTAATCAATCTCTCATAGTTTCCTCCCCACCAGGGTGACTTTGCAAGATTGAACTGCCGGCGAATGTTCTCACGTGCTAAATAATTCTGCAACTCAGTCTCACTTCTCCTCACCGTCTTGATCCAATCTGCTGTGGCCTTAAAAGTTTTGGCATTACCTGAGATGATGATGCGAGGTCTTGTTCGTCGCGAGATAAAGACATTCAGCTTACTCTTGAATTCATCTGCCGTTTGGGTTCTTGCAACTTCCAAATGAACCGCTCTGGAGCTGGCACAGGTGAAAATAATGACGTAGCACTTTCCTTGTTCTTTCTTACTGACCTTGTACACGAAGGGTCCGGCAAAGTCCACTCCGGTTACTTCAAACGGTCTCCACCCATCAGTTCTATATTCTGGCAAAGTGCTAGTTGCTGGCACTCCATAAGGTTTGGTAGAGTACACTTTACAGATGTTGCAGTTCTTAATGACCTTCTTCACTTTCGCTCTCAGCTTTGGTATCCATCAGTTTTCTCTCACGCTCGCCATCGTGTTCGCAATACCAAGATGCATGACCTGATTGTGGATGTGAAGGATGAGCTTCTCCACAAATACACCACTAGGAAGGTAAATCGGCTTATATCCTTTCATTCTGCCCTCACACCTGAGAACTCCTGTACAGTCATCTTTGACCAACTTCCATCCTAGGGACTTCAGACACGTTTCCTCTGCTTTCTGAATTCGCTTCACTCAGTAGTCACTTGCAGCTGTGATTTCTTCCGTAACTAATGGACCTGACATCTTCTTTGACCTACTTCTCACCTTGCAGTTTCTGATAAAACGTAACACCCATGCTGTTACTCTCATTATACGCCAGTAGGTGCTTCTTTCTAACAAAGCATCCCACTCATCGATCATGCGCTCTTGTGAGCGAAGGATTGCTTCTTAGGTCACCTTACTCTCTTCATCTGTTTCTTTGGTGTTATTCAGCCTTGGCTGCTCCGGCCACCACCTTTTGTCCAAGAGCCAATCCGGACCAGCAAACCAGTTTCCTCTCTCCATCTTCACAATGGTTGCCCCTCTACTCCCGAGGTCAGCTAGATTCAACTCTGATGGGCAGTACTTCCAAGTGATGTTGATTGGACCCGCAGTTTCTGCTATCTTCTTTACTCTGTTTGACACAAACATCTTCCATCCTCTCCCGGGATTAGTTATCCAATATAGTGCTACCATGCTGTCCATCCAAATGTTGATGGTTTGGATGGGCCAACGCTGGAGAGCCGTGCTGAGGTTCTTCGCCATGTTTACTGCCATGTGGCCACTCACGAGCTCCAGTCTTGCTATCGATGTACTTCTCTTTGAAATTCGCGACTTTGAGGTCAGAATTCCTTTGGTCACGCCTGCCTCATGTTCTACCACCGCAACAGCTGCTGCGCAGCATGCTAGGATGC